CATCTATGTCCACCCCTGCTCTGCCCGGATGTAGACATATGCAGTTACAGGAGAGGAATTCTACTCATAGACACTTCCAGTGACTAATGCAAAAAACAAATACAGAAGCATTCAGTGAGTGCTCCCCATTACCAAATAGTTCATATATTTTATTCAATAATCATGTAATGCCAAAGGAGTAAGTCATCCCAGAGTCCTGAACCTCCAGCTGAGAGATCTAATCTCCAGGGATCAAGGGGAAGCACCCTCCTTCTGTGGCACAACAACTCTTTGTATTGGGTTTGTATGGCCATGTTTTGGTAGAAGGGGGGGTTACAGAAGTGCCTTCTGTAAGAAGTTTCTAGAAGCTTCCACCATGTCTAGCAGAGCCAGCGCCAGCCAACTCCAGGATTGATGGGCTCGCCACTGGCCAAGGGCAAGCCAATCAGGAACGAGGGGAACTCCTCTGTGATAACATATTTAAGAAGGAAAAAAAAGTTATTGAGCAAATGTAATTGCAGCCAGAGAAGAGAGGGGTGAGAATATGTGAGAAGAGCAGTTCTGCAGACACCCAGCTCAGTGGAGAAGGAGAGGGAGGAGGTGCTCCGGGTGCCAGAGCTGAGATTCCCCGGTAGTCCCTGGAGGAGACCTACGCCGGAGTAGGTGGATGCCTGAAAAGAAGGCTGTGAACCTATGGGAAGTCCATGTTGGAGCATGCTCCTAGCAGAGACCTACAGACCCATGGAATGAGGAGCCTATGCTGCAGCAGGTTTCCTGGTAGGACTTGCGACCCTGTGGGGTACCCACGCTGGAGTGGGCTGTGCCCAAAGGATTGCACTCTGTGGAAGAGTGACCCACATTGCAACGGTTCATGGTGAACTGTTGCCCGTGGGATAGACTCACATTGGAGAAATTCATAGAGGACTCTCATGTGGGAGGGATCCCATGCTGGAGCAGGGGAAGGACTCCCTTAGCAGTGGCAGAAACAACTGTGATGAATTGACTGTAACCCCAACTCCCCATCTCCCTGCACCACAGGTGAGGAGGTAGATTTTGGGAAGGAGAAAGGGGAGGGGGAAAGGTGTTTTTAAGATTTATTCTACTTCTCATTATCCTGCTCCGATTTTGTTAGTAATAAATTCAATTAATATCCCCAAGGTGAGTCTGTTTTGCCTGTGACGTTATTTGTGACTGATCTCTTCCTGTCCTCATCTCAAATCATGAACCCTTCATTACATTCTCTGTCCACTGTCCACTTGTGGAGGGAAGTGATAGGGTGGCTTTGGTGGGCACCTGACATCCATTCAGAGTCAACCCACAATAGTTTTTCTTCCTACAGCCTGATGAGGGGAGATAGAGCTGCTGTGCTGAAAGATGAAAATTGTATGCACAGATCCCTTCACAGTCAGTGGAAATGAACCTTGCATCCTACCAGATCACGGTCCTTTTAACATCTAGAGGGATGCTTCCTGTATTGAACGGTGACACAGGAACCACACCATTCAACCCTGATGAGATGGGAGCAGTCCTGGGAAAGCACAGCAATATGACCCTGGGACGCACTGGTGAAAATCCAGTGAAGTCATAGTAATAGCACTTCTAATAATAAAAAATAGGGTGCGAGTTTTGAGGACCCCTGTCTGGGATTTGGAAATCTTAATTCTACCATATATTCTCTTTAAACAACAAAACCCTCAGCTGCTTATTTGAATCACTGAGTCTTAAGATTCCAACACTCATCAGCAGATAGTGGTCTGTCAACTGATCCCTGGGGGGGTGAGAACAAACACCAAAACTTCCAGGCTTTGACAACTCTCACCTCAGGGTGGGTCTATACATTAAGAAGTACATTAATCATCACAGATTGGACCTGTACTTTAGCCACTGTGAACTGCACAGGAGAGGCAGCTGTACACATTAATGTTTTGACCTGCAACTGTCGTAAGGGAATTGTCTGGTCTGATTGGTTTCTGTAAAAGTTGTGTAATAGGGAATGAAAGAAACAGTTTTCCAAAGGCCTCAGCTAGCAGTCACATGCATCCCTCTGCCCGAGTATCTCTACTGACTTCTCCAATGTGCTCTAAGAAGCCTCTGAAAGCTGTTTGCTGAACGACTATTTGAGTTGATTTTGTCCTGGGCAAATCATACCTTCCAAAGGACAATTTTTTCCATTGGGAAGAAGCTATCAGTAAAGTGCTGCTGGAATTGAAACACAGGTCAGCAGTCTCAGTGAAGACACAAAAAATTGATGATCAATTTGTCTTTTTTTTCCATAAACCGTTCTTTCTGCATCAAACCTCAGACATGATAACAATATCAAGAAAACTTCCAGATCTATAGCAATGTGTTACAACAGAGCAAGCTGCTTTTCAGAGCCAGAAGTCTGGCTCTTTTAGCAAGCACTACCACTAAAAATCTGTTTAAAAGGCTATAGAAAGCACACTCTAGCCAACTTGCCCCAAAATGTAAAATCAAATAGACTGTGTAAGTTCAGTATCACTAAGGCTGGTGAATAATCAGTGGAATGAAATCCCTGCCCAGAAAAATACCCTGTCTATGGAGTAATGCTGTAGACACCCCTGAACAGATGGGATGCAGAAAGGTCCATGACATCTAGAGATGAAAATAGCCTTTACAAAAAAATTTAAAAAGCTAAGATCACAGGCCTGATTCTGATCTCACTTTGCTGTAAATCATAAGTCACTCCATTTAGGCTGGAAGTTAAGTCAAATCAATTTAAGACCCTTAATTTTTAGGGAAGGATAATTACTTTATTCCCTCCTTTCCAATTCGAAGCAGCCCATCAAGCATCCAGCTGGCTGCAGGCTGTAAAAGAGCATTTCTCTGGATGAAACCAACCCTTCTCCCTCCTTTAAATCCCCTGCCCTCTAGTAAAACACTTTAATAATGTGTAAGAGCTATTTTTGTTGGGGTATGCCCAGTTGTCCTAGACATAATATAGACTGTCTCCCAGTCCAAAATCAACTCAGGTGGCCGCTGTGAAGCTGTGAAGTCAGAGACATGCAGCATGGGAGCACCAGAAGTACCTTTTAAAACAAAAGGTAGGTCTTTCCCCTTTCTGTGTCAAATCACCTGTAGCCAGTAGAAATTCCACTAGCAAGTGGCTGCCTGCCCTGGTTTTGGCCTCTGAAGACATCTGTCTCTGAAGGGCTCTGTATTTAGGTCACATACATTTTCAAAACAACTCAATTTCTTTGTGGAAAATTTAAAAAATTACTCCAAGATATATTCCTTCCTGCATCTGTAAGGATAATGTTACACATCCTGATCTGCATGAGAGATGAGCAGGCTCACAGACGTGTCTTGGTTTTGAGCCAGGCACTACAATGGTGAGATGTGCAGCTTCTGCACCCAACCCAGCATCCAAACTGAAATTATAAAAAAAGTGTACAACACTCTCAAAAGAACCTGTGTGATTCTTACCTTTTCTCTCATTTGCCTGATTGCAATAGCATTAAACCCTCTCCAAGAAGGGTTAATTCTACCTTTTTAATTTAAATGAAAATGTTCTTCTTTTCCCATGCGAGTTTGTAAAGTCATGGGAACATATTCTGCTGCCTTCCTGACATAAATCAATGGATATATTGGAGGGACAGGCCAAAAAATATATACATTTCTTGCCCTTCAGGTCTATTTCACCCATAAGCATTTGCCCACATCCTGGAACAGAAGAAATGTTTTCTTTCCATTGAGTTTCCGACTTTCATATTTCTACAGAAATTGGCCACTACCACACAGTTGATACTAACAACTTGACTCGGAATCTATTAGGAAGAGAAACTCTTTTAACAGAATGACAATTATAATTCATCCAAAAATACCAACAAACAGAATAAAGTGAAATACAAGTGAATGTTTTTCTTGAGGATACTGTCTAATACAAACTCCTTTGCACTATGATTCTTCTTCAAACATACCTCCATTTAATAGGTGATTGCCAGCTTATTCATCCTACTCCTGTTCAGAATACGCACAAATTCATTGCCTTGAGTATAACAAAAGACTAAAAAGCTATGGAAAACCAGATATTTCTTGGCCAATAATGTGTAAACTGTGACAGTTTATAAATTCAGACTGCTGGAAAGTGCAAGTTTATGGTCCTTACTAAACTACCACATACAATAGTTACAGGCAAATGTTAAAAAAGGTAGGCTAGAAGGAGAGAAAATCAAAATTCATATTAGTTGCATATAATATGCTGTAAGATATATCTGTCATTCCTGTGGACCATTGTTCATCTGGGGGCCTATGAATGCATGGTGAACCTCAGGGCATGATTCTTTTCCATGCTATTCATAACAAGTATATTTCTGCAAAAAGTAGCATTCTCCATTGTCTTATCTTCAAACCTATCTTGAGCAAACCTACACAGTTTCTAAAGTGCACCCCAATGCATTCTGTGGCTGTGATTTAGCATTTTTCTGCTGTCAAAGGAACCCGTACAACTCCAGTCCCATTAATATGAGAGTGCCATCTTTACTGAATTCATCCTTAAAGCAACTCTCACAATAAGGGAAGGCCGCCACCACCCCCACCCCAAGGTGAAGAATGACATCTCAGGAAAATCATCCTCAGGATCCATCACAGTGCTTAGACAGTTTTTGATATATGAATACCTCCTACTGGACGACTTTTCCTTAGAGTTTCACCTGATGGTCTGAAGGACCCTGCATACTAAAATACCCCTACCACTTTACCTGGTAGTCTGAAAAACCCACTCTGTGCCAAAATAACCCTAACAGCTCATCCTGATGGTCTAAAAGATCACCTGCACCAAAGATCTCCTGGACTTCATAGACCTGTGTGGGTCCTGCTCAGTTAGAGATTCTTGGTGCATCACTCAGAAGTGCTTTGCTGAAGATGACATTTGGGGAGTCTGAGATGGTTCAGAAACATTAGTCCAGACCCACTATCAGCATTGTATCCCACACATGAGACAAAACAACAATGTAACCCTCAGCCATAACCAGCCACTGTCCTGTGTTCTCACCTGCCCTGCTGGCTTCGCTGCCACCTTGCACCTCCTGAGGTCTGCACACAGCTTGCACCTACTACCGACTATTTTTGCTCAATTTAGCCCATTGCTCACCCTCTTGGAGTCCCTCCACTGCTTCCCCAAGTCAACAAACATCCTGTACAGACCTACCCAGCACTTGTTAGCCCACTGACAGTTTTTTATTTTCTTGACAAGTAAATCAAGCTTTAGCTTTTTTTCAGGCATTTGGCGTCGGTCTTTATCTATAGTTCCCCATGCAAATTAAGGCTCCTCATGCATATTCACTATGTATCTCATGTCTCCAAAAACACGTCTGTCAGAAAATGACCATCTTATAAGTTGTCCATTCTATATGTTCCACTCTCCTTGGGATTTCCTTATCTGAGCCTGGGAATATTTCTTTTTGACAAGAAAAAATTTGTTTCAGAAGGACAAAATAAATTCGGGTTGAATTTGGCTAATCCTGTTTCTGCTAGGAAAGAAAGGATAAAGTTTTTTTAAAGTGATTGCTTTTTTCAAAACAGCATTGATTGTTCCAAATTTGACCAAAATTTAAAAGTAAACAAAAAAACCCAAAAACTGTTAAACACAGAAGTGAATGACCTCCAATCCAAAGATGACATTGTGCAGCAAACCAAATTACTTGAATCTAAATAGTTTTTCATTTTTTCTCTTTGCAGAAAATGGAACAATTCCTGTCCCAGGTGGGGACCTAAGCCTCTCACCCCTTTTTATTTCTGACATGTCCTGAAGACCTATCAATCCTGATGGTCTATGGCAGCACACAGCAGCAAACAGGGCTGTGCTCCTATCTTCCTTCTCCCTATGTGGATCCATGAGCTGGTCACTGGGACTAGATTCACCCCAGCTTACTTCAGAAGTTTGAACCACCATTTACCAACCTCAGGCCATCCCAGAGTAATGGTCAGTTCTGGGGGCAATTCATGGGGCCTGTTTTCTGTTCAAGAGGCTGAGAGAGATTTACAAATCTGAATGCATGATAAGATGTCAAAAAAACTCACAGCCTGAGATCAGCTTTTAAAAGAAATATAGTCTTATGTTGTCATCAATTTGTCAAAAAGCTGAACATAAACATGATTGAAGGCACCCGTCAGTCTTGGAAATAAAAGTTAATCATCTAGTCTGATTGGCTCTAATCTATGTTATTTCTGAATTGATCTCACACTTTGAAGTTTTGACATCCTTTTTAGCAAGGTGAATGCAAACACTGTTGCACTGTTTCTAGATAGTGTGTCACTGCAGTGGTAACAACCACTCAGGGACATTCCTCTTTAACTAGAAAGTTTCCATGTGGTAAACAGGTTGTCTGAATTATTTTATGTTTATTATTATGTATTACTACTTTGATTTTTTTTTCTTATTTACATTGACATTTTTACTTTCCCAGAGATACACAGTGAAATGACAACATGAGCAGTATCATATTGCAAATCTATTTGGATATTAGGGAAGAAGATCTTACCATTAAGGTGGTGTGACATTAGCATAGATTGCCGAGAGAGGCTGTGGAACCTCTATTCTTGGAGAAATTAAGAATTTGACGGGACATGACCCTGAGCAATTTCCTCTAATAGAGCTGGACTTCAAAGTCGGCTCTGCTTTAAGTGGTGATTGGACCACACAACCTTCAGACGTTCTGTCCACCCAAGATTATTCTACTCACTTATGTGTTAATGTCTCCTTAAACCTTAATGTATGTAAACCTTAACCTCCATTTAATTTTTCAGCTTTTGACAAGTTTTCTCAAACAGCTTCTCTAGTGTCCCAGTTGTTCTGATGTCTTGAGGAAAGACAAGAAATCGTTTGGTTTTGTGTATGAGCCCATTAGGGTAGATGTGCTTCACTGCTGTAGCATGTCCATCACTGGGCTGACACCAGACCCAGGCCTCACCTGTGTGCAGCTACCTAGCAGCTGTGGACAGAAGGCTGCACCAGGAGCTCTGGTCCCCCATCAACCTACCTGGGCTCAGAAGCTGAACCTCCAACATCTGCCCACTTCCTAGACATGTGAAGACATCCATCACATGTGAACAAGAGGTTAAAGCCACCAGGTTTGGGCTGCCCTTCTCTGGCAAGCCATCAAGCTGAAGCAGTTGCTCAGCAGAAGTTTGAAGGCTGATTTTTTTATTAAGGAAAAAATTTTCCACTGGACATATGTCAGTGTCCAGATCTGGTGAGAGCTGAGGGAGAGCTCAGACGGAAGGTGAACCGAGAACACAGCCATAGCCCAGCACACCTGGAGATCTAAGTAGTACTACAGAAATTACTTTCTTTTTCCTTAATAAAGCCAAATAATTTATCTCCTGGCCTTTGCACTTTTATTACAAGCTGCTATGTGTAATTGGCTTTGTTTGTTTGTTTTATGGTTTTATAACTGGACACTTTTGTAATTAAGGGTGGTTTAAAGTGATATGTGTATAAAATTGAAGTGGGCAAGTGGAAAAAATAAACAGAAGGAAAGTTTTTAAGAAGCTATTTGAATTGGCCGTGATATTCTTCCCCACTAGCTAGTGAGGTTTTAATTAGCATTGAAAATCATAAGTAACTGGAGATGAAAGAGCCCTATTAGGTCATCCAGTCCAGTTCCCTGCCAGTTCAGAATTGTGCCCAACAGTGTATTTCCCAGTGTTTTGTCAAGTCCGGCACTAAGCCTGTTCATTACATGACTAATATGCTCTTTTGAAGTAGCAGGAGGGAAACTGCTCACAATCCAGATCCAGGCATTTTTTAAGTTTATAGCAAAAAAGAATGATAAGCAAAGATGCAAGCCAGTATAGAAATTTATATGCAGGACTCCACATGGGGTATTTATTCTCATTCTTATAGGGGAGCTCACACGTGGCCGAGTAAATATGAATGATGAACTAAATGTCATAGCAGGGATTGCGGGAAAAGTGTTTAACTGCTTCACTGAAATGAAGGGGCCCAAAAGAGGGAGAGAGGTGGAGCTGCAAAGCCGTCTTCACTCAACTCCTGGTCTAGGTCAGCCTTCATCCCAAAGGAATATCATGCATAGCTCACTTGCATTTTCAAAAAAATCCGAGCAAGAATTAAAAAAAACAAACAAACAAACAAAAAACCCCTCTAGATTGTATGCCTTGGGTGACAAATCCCATAAAACAAGCAGCCAGCAGTGGGTTGTCAAAAAGAGGTGAAGATTTCTGGTGGACCTACAAGTCAAACCAAAGATCAGAACAGCTAGTTTGAAAACTACAGTTTGGCAGATGAAGACAAAAGATCCCTCCACATCCAGTAGCAAGGCATCAGTAGGATTCTTTAAAATATCTATGACATTTCTCTAATAAAAATGCCTTGCATAGAATACAATTCTTTATACATTATTGTAAAAAAAAATTTTAGGCAGTAAACTGCAACAGCAATCTCAATAAAAAAGACATCAGCATGGACCCAAAAAAAGCCAGTTTCAACCATTAGTCTACTTAAATACAGTTCTATAGATAGAATTACGCAAACAAAACTTCTCCAGTGCTACAGAAGATGCTTCCAAGCAAAAAGAATATTTAAAAAAAAAAATCAGAAGCAAAGTTGATTGGGGATTCAAAACTAAGCACAATTGTAAATGACAAATGGAGTTTCTTATGTCAAAAGCATAATGTCATAATCAAGAAAGATAATGACATTGCCTAAAAGGCTATCCTGGTGCATCGTGTCTGGCTTAGATGGAGTTCATTTCCCCATAGCAGCCCTCACAATGTTTTGCTTTGCATTGGTAGCTAGAAGGGTATTGATAACACACCAGTGTTTTGGCTACTGCTGAGCACAGCATCAGTACTGCAACATTCCTTCTGGGAGGGGACACAAGTAGGTCAGCTGATCCAAACCAACCAAAGGGATATTCCATACCATATGACATCATCTCGGACATAAAAGCTAAGGAAAGTAGCAGGAAGGGGGGCATTCGTTGTTTCCAAAGGCTGCTTGCTGAGAAACAGTTACACGTGCTGAAGCCCTGCTTCTTGGGAAAGCAGTCATCCATCACTGCTGATGGGAAGTAGAGAATAAACCTTGTTATCTTTTGCTTTCCTTTTGCCTTAATAAACTGCCTTATCCTAATCCACAAGTTGTTTTCCATCTTACTCTCTCTTCCCTTTGCACCTGGGAAGGGGAGTGGGTGGGAAGAGCAGTGAGTGGGCACCTGGCTTCCAGTCAAGGTTAACCCACCACACCTGGTGAATGGAAAGATGAAGTTAGACATAAGGGAGCAATATATGACAGAAAGGTGAGGAAGGAAGAGAGCAGATAACACAAACTAAAACCCAAAGTATGTAAAACTGAGACAGAGGTCTGAAGACATCAGGATAATCTACCCCTAATAATAACATCAAAGGATAAGTCCTTGTTAAAAATCATTCTAGACAATATCTGAATTTCAGAAAAATATATGAGGAGGCAGAAGCATCAGGCATCTAGTTCTGGCCTATGTGTGGAAAGCACGATAAAATGTAAATCACATATTCATATCATCTGAATATTACAAGAAACATTTGAATCCATCCCAATAAGAAAGATGTTGAAGATCTACTAAAGGTGAAAGCTTTTGTATGAGAAGGCCCATAGAATGTACAATTAAAAGTTCTCAGACTTCTGCTTAAGGCAGGAATTGGCTAACTTATATTCAATTTTGATATTCTCTGAATGCTGGATCCATGCCACAGGCTTAAAGCATACAGAGACTAACCAAAACACAGAAAGGGCAGTCCATGAGGCACAAGTAGCCAAAATCTGGGTAAATGGATGTAAGTCCTGGGCAAAATTTAAAAGTTGTTAATGAGTAATTCTATCAATAAAGAATGGGATGATGAGGATATAATTATCAGTAATCAGTACAGTTTCACAGGAAAGAGGTCTCGTCATCCTAAAAATTAAGTCAGACTGGTGTTTATTAGGTTGTAAAGTGTGCAGCTAAAGTATACATCAACTTCTCAGGTGTGTTCATCTCCCCAAAAATTAACATTATCCCCAGTCAGTAAAGGCTGTAGTAACTGAACCAAGTGCTGCCTTCAGTATATATACAAAAAGTGGTTATCAGCAGGTGAATTTTCCATAAGGGTGCACCTGATGGAGAAGTCTGCTGTGATCAGAGTTAGGCTGTATGCTATTCAGCTCACTTTTCATCAGTGGCTCAGGAGTAATAAGGAAAGAATGTTTTAAAGCAGTCAAATGCAGAACTACGGACCTAAGAAGGAATAGAGAGCAATGTGGCTCTATGAGAGTCCTAAGGCTCTTTATATTTTTCATCAAATTTTTCTCATCTTCAAACTGTGTGATGATTAGGTTAGGCAGAAGAATTCCCAAAGGAGAGGAGAGAGGAAAGCTCCATCTCTCTTAGCATGATGAGAATATTCAGTTGCTACCTCAGAGCTCATGGTCAGATTACATGTCCAATGACTTAGAACTATGGCTCCAACAGAAGAGGTGTAACAACAGCAAAATCCACTCAAGAATGCCTTACTGAGGTAACAGGCATGGAGATTCAAGCCCTTGGCTGAGCTTCACCTTCTCATGCTTCAAGAGAGGACCACAATTAGCTTTCTTTCTGTGAGATCTCTGCAGAATGAGAAAGCTTTTTAACCCTCTCAAATGTGAGAATGTATGAAGCAGTTAAAAGGGTTTTCATGAGTTCAATCACTCCATCCCCTTACAAATTATAAAATAGCAAGCTAAGGTCAGGGAAAAGCATGTCCACCTGGGCACTGCTCACAAGTGGGTGGTGAGATGATATTCACAGCAGACATATGTCCAGATCTGAGATTTAGAAAATTTTCCCTCTATTCTGGGAAGACAGAAAGAATATTTCCTGCAGTTCTGTCATTTTTCTCCTTAAAAGGATAGTCAAATACCAGAGAAGACAATGAAATAATTTTTAAATATTTTTCAAATGAAATAAAAAGTTCCTTATTGGGAGAAAATCATAAAACACAATTTTTCTAACAGTTAGAAAAAGGACTGGGGTGTGACTTGATTACTGTGTATATGTAAGTACCATCATGGAGAGAAAATGCCATATACTAAATGACTGTGGCACCTGGCAGAGAAAGGTATAACAAGAACCAAAATCTGGATTTGGCTTCCAACCAAATTCAAATAGGAAATAAGGCACAATTTAAAACCATTGAAACAAACTACCAAGGGAGCATCAGACTCTGTGTCCCTGGATGTCTTCAAATCCAGGCTGGATATGTTTCTGTGTTCAGTGATTTAGCCTACTCGGGCGTTATTTGGCTTAGTGGGAGGCTGACTGGGTGAAATTTAATGGATTAAGATGTGCAGGGGGTCAGACTAACTGATCTAATGGTCCTCTCTGGCCTTAAATTTTGTGGAAAACTTCAGATAACTAGCAAAGCAAGTGCAAACAACCCAGAGGCAATATATTGCTCCAAGTGCAGTTGACTAATTTTAAATAATTGATTATAATAAAATCTTCTCGTAATCACAAACAGAAAAAAAGAAAGGGGGAGAGGGAGTTAGCCCCTAAGAATAGTTCACTCAGCTGTAATCCAGAGAAAAATTGCATCAAAGTCCCCAGAAAAAAAGGTTTGCAAGTCTTTTTACAAAATCAAACCTAGATTTTACAAGAAGAAAAATGGCTTACATACTTAAAAGTCCACTTAGCATTTGGCATAGAGCTATTCCTTTCTATACTGAGTGCTAGCACACTTCAAGGGCACTGAGGATCCGATTACTATCCTACAAAGTGTAGGGGTTGGCTGAACAACCCCAGAGTAACTCAAATACCAGGGAACCTGGCCTATTCCCTGTCCATAAAATACACAGAAAACGATCCCACTCCCTGACATTTTTTCAGCTGGGACAGCTGCTATAACAACTCAGAGCTTTTCAGCCTCTGTACAGAGCTCATGTATAACCTCTTCAAGTTTTCAGTCTGGAACCACTTTTCTTCCAAGACCATTTTGCTGGAGCAACCAAAAGTGTTCAGGGAAAAGCTGTTTGATAGCCTCTGGAGGGGGAGCATTAGATCAGTGAAGAATTTAAAAAGTGGGGAGGGGGACAGGGGACAGGGGAGTGGGTTAGAAAGATTTACAGCAAAAAACAACATACAGCTTGAATCCGGTCCAAGAGGAGCCACAGGGGGCTGGTGCCAGTCATCACTGATGAAAGGGTTTGGATTTGTCAAGGAGAAAGATGCTGTGTAAAAATTGCATTCAAAGCCCCAGTGAAATTGCATTAAGAGGCTGGTCCCTTGGAGCTTTGCCTGAGCAATGAGTCCAGATTTGTGCACTCTGGGATGCATACCGATCCCCTTCTTCATGCCCCACT